AAAGTTTTCTGTAATACCGTCCCTAAGGTAAGTGTAAGATCTCTAGCAGAAAAGATATCCAACAATGCCATTTTAAATTGCAAAGAAATGTGTTTTTAAAATTAACGAAGACAGCAGAAGTCAATGATTAATTTTCATTATTCAGCCTGACATGTTTACTGCTCCAAAATATTTTTTAAAAGTTCTCAAAATACAATATATTGTTCAAAAGGGGGGAAAATTTTTAGTTTTTTACCCAGACATTTAAAAAGAAGCTATTTTAGAGCAGTAATCACAATACTGTGATACCGTGAAACCGTGATATTTTTATCCAAGGTGATCATACTGTCAGAATCTTATACCGGCCCATGCCTAGGAGACAGAGGGAGTCTGTGAATTTAACCTGACTGATGCTGCCTTGTTTACACGGTAATAAGACACAATTTGATTGATCAGATCACTTGTAAACAAGAGAGACACTTTCCAGTTCAAAAATATGCCGTTTAAATGCTTAAGGTAAACAGTCTTTGTTTTGTACGTTCGATCATACTGCGCAGGTTTTCTCTGGTCTTTCAATCTAATACAGCAAATAAAAGTGTTTTGATTTGTACATTTAGTACTAAAACAATCACATGCTTCATAAAATTTTTATGCATTGAGATTTATTTCCGTTGAGTTCATATTTCCTAACACAGAATGTATGATGTTTAACAGTTTTTTATTGTTTTTTTATTGCCTATATATGATTTTACATTTAGGCATATTAATCTACATTTTTTTTTAACAGATGTTTTACAACAACAAAAGTAACTATACTGGGTGATTCATGAATACAAATCTAATATAAAAGATCCTGTATTTATCACATGGATAAAAGATCATGCACATGTAGGTTGTAGTCACACCAGTATGTAGATTTTTGCATAGAATAAATATATTAACAGAATTGATCTTTATCCCTTACATACAATATCCACAATACCCTGGGGGAAAAAAACACTTAAATAACAGGTAAGAGCTGCTAACACAAAAAGCAGGCAAATACAATAAGTATCTATTTTAGCAGAAGAAAATGTATTTTCAATGTATTCAATACAAAAATATTCAGATATGAAATTTAAATAAAATCAATATATTTTTGGAGAGAATTCAGTGTAAAAAGACATTATTTGTAAAGATATACAGGCTATGGAATTATTTTTACAGTGTATGAACATGAATGGCGGCTGTTGTTTTTTTTATCCAACAGTCGCAAAACTACATGAAAAATGATGTCAGTTTGCATCAGGATGATGATATATAGGCCAAGATTTTAAGCAATGTTGGTGCCATAATGCAGGATGTAATGCTGCTTAGCTACTTCATAAAATTTAACTCGAGTACAAAAGTGTAATCAGTACTTCAACTTCTAACAGAATCATATTAAACATGAGCATCTGTACTTCTACTTGATTAAAGGATTTGTGTACTTTAGCCATCTCTGCCCAATTAATGAAAACTATTAACTAATTTTACCAACATCCAATCCATTTCATTCCTTTATATAAATTTAATTTAAAATTAATACGAAACAAATTTTGTTTTTATTATATTAAATATGAAACATTACATTCATGGAACTAATTAAAGAGGCACAGACAATTGAAATAATAAAATCATATTTAGAATTTAGAAGTGTTTTGTTGAAGAAATAGAATTGTATTAACATTATTTCTATATACATTGTTATCCATTCTTTTTGGGATTTTGTAACTCCTCTGTAACTACACAGCAGGTACACAACATCATAAAACATTAATATTAGGTTAGATTTAGGTTGTGATGTCAGGTGCCCAAAATTCAACCTCTAGCCATTGTCTAAGAACAACGTTGTTTTGATCTCCAATAATGACGTCAAATAATGTTGATATTTGGTTGATTTTAAGTTGAGTTGGAAAGTGACCAAAATCCAACTTCGAGCCAACATTGTAAACCAATGTCATATTGACGTCAAACACTGACATTTATTCGTCAGTTATGATAACAACCAAATAGCAATCACAATTCAACATCTGATAGACGTCATAGTTGTAACATCCACACATCAAGCTTTAACATTATAAGATGTTATTTTGATACGATATTTGGTTGATTTTCGGATGGATGTTGGACACTGACGCCATCTAGATGTTGAGTTCTGAGGTCAACCCAATTTTCATTTCCAAACAAAATGCAACCACCACACAACATTGGGGTACAACATCAAGCTGATGTCATATTGACATCCAGTGCCTGCTGGGTAGACTAAGGATATATTTACACAAAAAAAGGTCATCCACACTAAAATGACTGAAAATGCTTTTGTTTGTGTGTTTGTTAAATTTCACCTGCAACATATCAATCTGGCATTTATTTACTTTCCATCTCTTTCTATTATCGTGGCACAATGTCGAAGAAAATCACCCAAATCATTCACTCCATGTACATTTGCCTGCTTCTGCCACTGAACAACAGCTCCCAGAAAACATTATGTCCCTTAAAGAGAGGCGAAATGGAGCATGTACAAAATGACATTAATTTTTAATAATGCTTTCAAAACGGACAGCATCCAAAACAGTACAATGTCGTCCACCATATTGAATGCTGAATTGGTCACATGACTGTGCTATATGATTAAAATGTGTCATTGTTTCTGAAAGCCTCCATTTTCACAGTCCACACTGCAATATCAAAAGGCCATTTTCAAATTGATCCACTTTAGACAGCGGTTTTAAAAAGATACACTTTTGTTTCCTAAAAATGCATCTCAATGTGAACAGAAGGGGAAAAATATGCGTTTTTAAACCAGAATGTATTGGTGCGGACATGGGCCTAAAGTTTTAAAATTAATTAAGGCCCATGCACACTGAGATGTTTTTTGCTCGCGTTTTCCGTCGATGTTTAACGCCTCACGACAAAATAACGGGCGTCAATGTGATCGTGCACACCAAGCGTCATTTAAAAAAGAAAACGCCTCATGCTCGTTTTTTTGTTTTGACACGCTGCGTCAAAACCTTCTCCACCAATCAGATTGCCACTTTTGTTCACATGCACGGAGCTGCTGAAGTTACAGTAAACAGCACTTGGAGGCGCCCAAGCGCAAAACTATCAATGCGAGCGCACATTAAAGTAGATGCCGGTGATATGAACGTTTAGCTGCTTCTTCATCACTAGAGCTGGAGCTGCTGCTTGAACCATCCATGCTTGTTCGAGTCACCAGTAACTTTTAACAACAAGCGTGTGAACTTCCTCTCCTCCTCTTCTTCTGTGTTATAAACGGGTGTCAGAAGCTTAAAGTTTTGTTGCGCCATCTAACGTCAAGGAGTGATTTTGCATACTCTTCTGCTTGACGCCAGTGAAAATCTCTTGGGTTTGAATACGGAAAAACGTCTCGTAAAACGCTGTCGATAAACGCAAATGAAAAGCGTCACGGTGTGTAGTAGCCTTGTGAAACAAACTAATTATCAAATAAAAAATGAGACATAACACTTGGCAAGACATAATGCTACAGTAGTCTGGATTGAAACAACAGTGAACCATTGGGGCTTCACAATATAACATTTCAGCATTGATATCGAAATGTGATCATTCGCAATAGTCACCTCACAAGATCTGCATAAGAAATTATACTGTTTGTAAGTTTAATAATAATTAATTGTATTAAATTATTATTACAGCAAAGACTTTGCACTATTTACACGTGATTACTCAATTACTGTACATGAATACTGTTAGGGTGCTTTCACACCTGTGAATCAATTCAGTTGTTGCGAAACAGGGATTAAAATCGTTACATTGTTGCTCTTTGTTCTTGGAGCAGTTCGCTTTCACACTGCAAAGTTTCTAATCTGACCAAAAGATTTAAAACAAGTCATCTGTGAGTAAACTCTCCTTACATTGGTCAGAGTTTCAGGGTTTATTTTGCAGAGTCCCGCTTAGCGGTCAGGGGGGGGGGGGTGGGGGGTTTGGTGGTGTTTTACAAGGTTTGCGCGACGTGTCTGAAGAGCAAGGAGAGATGTAGTGGGGAGGGGTGAGAAGAGTGCGCAACGTATTTGAGGACCGGGAGGGAGACGCATGATTATCACTCGTTTTTCGGGCATCCGGGAGACTCCCGAAACTTCCCGCCCTCCTCATAATTCTCTCTTCATATAGCCGGATGCCTATTACATATCCATAAAACACTGTGATATAACCGCGCTCGGATTATAGCGCTTTCTCACTGCAATCAAACCGCTCCAGAGTTCGTTTCAATCGAGCCGAGACCACCTCATTCAAGCGATCTCATAGCGATTGATTTGGCGCGGATCCCAGCGCGATTGCTGGTTTCACATATGCCAAACGAACCACGCTAACTGGGCAAATGAGACAGGTTTTCAAACAAAAGTGTAGGTGTGTAAGCACCCTTAGAGTCATCAGAAAACCATAAAACACTTTTTATTAATTTTTATTTTTACTTTTTCTTCACTCAAAATCTTACTTTTGCTATTTAAAATGAGTTGAAACACCACAACTATTAAGATTTTTTGGGGACAACTTAATTACTTTATGTTCAATCCACTTAAATTTATAAAAAGGATTGAATTAACTTAATCAATTTGTGTTGGAACAACATGAAGGTAATGTGTGGAACCCTGCATCTTTTACAGTGTTTATATAGTATTTATCTCTGCTTGTTTATTGTTATATTGCTGTTATATTTTTATACAGATGAACTTGCATACAGAATCAGCCTAATCAATCTAAATGTATTCATTCTTTCTAAATATAGATGGTCAAGTCATGTGGTGAAATTGTAATCTTATCTTAATATATATGGCAGAATAACAAAATAATCGCAGAGCTAGATTTTTCCAGTATCATGCAGCCAAAACCATGCAGAAAAGAGATAGACTATATAAAACTGCAACCGACCAATCAGAATCAAGTATTCCAAACCATTTAAAAAGCTTTATACTACGGCAAATGTACTATGCGTACGAGTCGCTGAAGGTGACTTTACTCACACTGCTGAGCATCTTCATCTCCAGCAGCCTCTGCAGATACTCCTGTAAGGGGGTCAGAGGAACAGCGGACGGCGGGTCGGGCTCCTCTAGGAACCAGCGGAGCGAACCCACCGACCGCCGTCTGTTCAAGAAATCAAACAGCTCTTCGTGCATCATCATGAGTGAAATCCACAGCTAATGGTACGGATAGAGAAGCAACAAGAACACTTTTCTATGACGGAGAGAAAAACAGTGTCTAAAATGTTGACCAGAATGAAAAGAAATGAGCTTCAGTTCTGAGCCACTGTGGAATGTGTGCGATTACCCATCATGCACCGGGAGATTAGGTGAATGGTGAACTTTGCTTTATGTCGTTTTTGTTATTAAGCCGATTAACAGCTCAAAAGAAACACACAAACATTGCAAAGTTGCATAAAGAATACACTTTCATCCAAACACACACTTACACACACACATATACAAATGAATACATACATACACATACATATATACACACACACACCTTCAAAGCTCAGTCCCCAGACTGATTTGTGCAACATAAACACAATGTTCAGTCGCACTCATTGTTATATTTCCAGCTTTCATCCATTTTGTTCCCCAGACGACTGATCCTGTTTTATGATGTTGCATAATACTGTATGAGTCCAGACTTCAGCTCTGAGGATCTCAAAACCGAGACCTTCACAGGTAATGAAACTCAGAAATGAAACCAGGAGACGTGGCATGAACAAAATACACCACTGGACAATAGTTTCAGATTGTGTTTCATAAAAGAAGTGTCTTATGCTCGCTGAGATGTTTAATGTGATCAAGAATTAGAAACATTACAACCAGTAATGCTTTATTAACGTTATTACCAAATATTAGCAGTAATATTATTAAATTGCTAATAATGTTCCTGTTTTTAGATACATTTAAAGGCAAAATTATTATTATCAAGGTTATCAAGGCTTAATATTTTGCAGGAAATTAACAGAAAGAGGGTGGTGGTTTGGTGGTTAGCACTGTTGCCTCACAGCAAGAAGGTCGCTGGTTCGAGTCCCAGCTGGGTCAGTTGGCATTTCTATGTGAAGTCTGCAACACTCCATACAGAAATGTGCCGGGGTGCTCTGGTTTCCCCTACAGTCCAAACACATGCGCTATAGGTAAAATTAATAAACGTAATTGCCCTTAGTATGTGTGTGAATGAGAGTGTATGGGTGTTTCCCAGCACAGCACTGTAAAACCCAAAACAGTTAAGGTACCTCAAACCATTTTTGGAAACCGATTGCAACAAACCATTTAAGTTCCATAAACTAATACTAAAGAGTGCTGTGAACTTAATCCATTTAAGTAAACTGAGTATTTGAGCACTGTAAAACCCAATAAATGAAGAGAACTCAAACCAACTGAGTACTGTAAAACCCAATCAGTTAAGACAACTCAAACCGTTTGAGGAAACCGACTGCTACAAACCATTTGAGTTAAAAACTAGTCAATATGAGTACTGTGAACTTACTCCATTTAAGCTGAAACAATAAGGCATGTAATTAACTCATTACCTTCAACACTGAGTTCAAAACTCTTATCAAACGAATATAATTAACTTTGTCAATTTTGAGTTAACTACACTCATTTCAATTGATAAGTTGACTGTTGGGGTTTACAGTGCGAGTTGGAGCTGGAAGGGCATTCGCTACATAAATCAAACGCTGGAATAGTTGGCGGTTCACTCCGCTGTGGTGACCTCTGAAATAGAGACCAAGCCAAAAGAAAATGAATAGTTGAATGAACAGAAAGAAGATTTAATAGAAAGCTTTTAGAACATCCCAGTGCTCAACATAAATGAGTACACCCCATTTTGAAAATAAATATTTTTATTCATTTCTCAGTCAATATAGGTCATATATTTTGGTGCATTTGAACAAAACTGATTTATTAAACAGATACATTTATTAAAATAATATTTTAGTCACCAAAAATCATAGAAATAGAAAAATAACACATGTAAATTTATGTGAAAAATTAGGTAAAAAAATTGAAACTACAAAATCAACAAACATTTATACATTTTTTTTGTTTCCCTTGGATTTTTCTCTTTAAAATGTTTAATTTAATAATTTTCCCTAACATATACATTTAGGTGTACTAGTTTTTCGACAGTTATCATAAGTTATTTTGTTAGACAACTTCAGATTTGGCTGACAAATCTAATGTACACGCGCAAATATATTATTGCAAAGACTTCTATAAAATATACTAATCTAAATGAGAGATTTGAGGGGTGTACTCGTATATGTTGAGCACTGTATCTTTATGTTTGTTTATATTTAAAATGTATTTTCCTGGGCAGCACAGTGGCTCAGTGGTTAGCTCTGTCAACTAACAGCAAGAAGCTGGCTGGTTCAAGCCCAGGCTAGGCCTCCAGTTTTCCCCCACAGTCCAAAGACATGCGCTATAGGGGAATTGGATGAACTAAACTGGCTGTAGTAATAATAGTTGGCGGTTCATTTCATTGTGGCGACCTCTTATAAATAAGGGACTAAGCCAAAGGAAAATGAATAAATGAATAAATGTCCTTTCCTTTTTTTTAAATCTTACCACAAACTTCTGAATTATATTTTAATGTACATTTAAATTGTAATATTATTTCCCAGTTCAGCTATTTTTAACCATAATAAAAGCACCCCCTACAGAAACATAATAAATTGTAATTAATCTAATCTACTGAACAGCGGTGCACATAAAAACAAATCTAACGCCACTGATTGGCCACGTAATGTCAATAAAACAAACAGTCTGTTCCCGTCTAAGCAGGACGTTCTTGGCCAGAATAGCAACTGTGCCCAGACTTTACTGTTAAACGTGCGGCTAGACTTGGATTTGTTCTGTCAGAGTTCAGTTAGCTGCTGTCTGTCTTCTGAAAATACATCTTTATAGGAGTTTGTCCAGCCTTCAGAAATACAAACAGACACACAGCTGTTCCAGCACAGAGCACGTACATGTGTGTTTATTTAACTGTGACATGCTCAAGGTGTGTGTGTCTGTGTGTGTGTGTGTGTGTGTGTGTGTGTGTGTGTGTGTGTGTGTGTGTGTGTGTGTGTGTGTGTGTGTGCGTGCGTGCCTTGTATTCCTTACATTGTGGGAACCAAATGTCCCCACAAGTACAGAAATGTGCCCGCAGGACATTTTTTGGTCCTATGAAAAAAAAAACGGCTCATAAATCCCCCAGAATAAAGTATTTTGAAAATGTTACAATGCAGATTGTTTCCTGTGAGAGTTGATTTAGGGGTAGGTTTAGGGTAGAGGATATAATATACAGTCTGTTCAGTATAAACATTATTACGTCTATGGGAAGTTCCAATAAAGATAGCTGTACAAGTGTGTGTGTGTGTGTGTGTGTGTGTGTGTGTGTGTGTGTGTGTGTGTGTGTGTGTGTGTGTGTGTGTGTGTTTAATAGTGACAGGGAAAGTATACAGAGTATGTGAGGTATGTGTGCCAGCGGAAATCTGATACACATTCACTTACACTGACACACACACACACACATACACAGAGAGAGAGAGGGGGGGGGGGAGAGAGAGCTTCATGTGCCAAACACACAGGCACTTTGAAACTTCCTACATGTGTTCTGATCTATTAAAAGGTGAAGAATTTAAAAGCGCCGTTTGAAACGCAGTTCACTTCCGTCACGCAGCAGATTTACAAGTGAACCTGGATATTCAATAGGTATTCATTTCAGGGTTTATTGAATGGTGGAAAAGCGCCTCTTTAAGAAAAGACCATTTGAGGGGAGGGGCTACAAATAAGGGCTTAATGATGTCAGAGGAAAAGTGGTTCAAGTGGTGGAGCGAAATTATTTTGATTTTATTTATTTGTTTGTTTATTTAACAGGGAGACAACCGATGCTGCATACATAGGGCATATAGCATGAAGCTAATTTGCACCCCTCATCCCTGGTTAGGCTTTACATTCATTCGTTCATTCATTTTCTTTTCGGGTTAGTCACTTTAATAATCTGGGGTTGCCACAGCGGAATGAACCGCCAACTTATCCAGCATATGTTTTACACAGCGGATGCCCTTCCAGCTGCAAGGCTTTACATAAAAAAAAAATAAATCAACAAATAAAAGCAATGCAACAAACATGTACAGTATATACAGGGCCACAAACCTAAAATGTAAGTCAATCTGCACACTAAAGAGAAATGTAAACCATGATAAAGTATTATTGTTGTTTAAAATATCTAATAAAGTTATTTAAAAGGGTGATGTTCCCTTTTACAAGCAGTAAAATAAGTATCTGATGTCCCTAGAGTGTGTAGGTGAAGTTTCAGCTCAAAATACCCCACACAAATAATGTTTTATAACTCTTCGAAACTGGCCATTTTAGGCTGTGATCCAATTTGGTGACTGTCGCTTTAAATTCAAATGAGATTGTGCTCTTTTCAAAAGAGGGTGGAGCTACGGATGCCTGTGTGTCAGAATAGTGGCAGATTTAAAACAGCATTAACGTTATCTCTGTGAAAAATTTAAAATGTCAGAAGTGGCTTCTTAGAGTAAAAAAAAAAGGTATTTAAAGTGAAATATATATTTATTTTATTTAAATGATCTGAAATAAAAGTTATTTAAGTGGATTAAAATTATTGGTACATTATTAAAAACGAGACAACCCATGATACTTGGGTTAGAAAAAGAAAATAGTGCCAGTACAATGCTTTTTTTCATTATAATAATCTAGCGCATTAATTTCATCACCACTAAAACACTAAAATCTAAATGAAAACTGCGTATATTGAAACCACCGTGTCAAGAAGATTCCTGAAATGCATTTTACATTCATTTTTCTTCGGCTTAGTTTCTTTATTCATCAGGTGTCGTCACAGCAGAATGAACTGCCAACTTATCCAGTATATGTTTTACGCAGCGGATGCCCTTCCAGCTGCAACCCAGTGCTGGAAAACATCCATACACACATTCACACAAATACACTGTGCCTAATTTTGTTAATTCAATTCACCTACAGCGAATATCTTTGCACTGTGGGGGAAACTGGAGCACCCGGAGGAAACCCACGCCAACACGGGGAGAACATACAAACTACACGCCAACTGACCCGAGGCTCAAACAAGTCAATGCAATGTATAACTTGCATTAAACATATACTTTTAATGATAAATAATTACTTATTTACGAAACTGACAATCAAAACTGAATGGAAAATGAATTCAAGGAACATATTAAGCTAAATGTCAAGTAGAAAAGCAAATCATTTTCTGCAGTTAGTTTTGTTTCATTAACAATGCTTGAAGGCTTTTCGAGAACAAGATCTTAACTTTAACATCGGT